CCGCATCACATCCGTAATGTCGTTCAACAACCCCTTGGGCTTCAATGTGTCCAAGGCTATTCCGACAACATCAACGACAAATACCAATACCACCTCCACAGTAACTTCACAAACCGCCTCCCCCGCCCCATCTAAGCATGAATCAGAGCCTGAAAGACCCAACCTCAAGGATGTTCAAGAGGTCAAACGACCCCCTAGTTCATCAAGTTCGTCTCCAAAAGTGCTTCAGCCTGCAATGGCTACGGGAATAAGTGACGTGACCCCTACGACCGTCAGTGTCACGGAAGGAACGAACGGATCGAGAGAAAAGACCGATTTGATTGGACTATTCGATAAGTTCGACGTTAACAAGGCGAACGGGAAAAAGAATACGGAAGACAACGAAGAGGCTGAGATTGACTCTTTGGAGGAGAAGATGAGGCAGTTCAAGCCAAAGGCCAGGCAAGACTCGAATATGTCTACCTTGGACGACAAGGTTGAGGAGAAAGAGCATTTAAGCACTCACCTTGAGAGTGATCAGAAAACGGATGAAGTGACACATGTTGACGGGGATAACCAGGAGGCTGAGGGAAATGCACCCCAGAAGCCGGTTCAAGAGACTCCTGTGGAAACACTGGATGAAGATCCTAAGTCGACAGAGCACAAATCTGCTGAACCTACTCTACTTGATAAAGATCAAACTGATCTGGAATTGCAAAACACAGGAGTCCCTGCTAATGAGGAGTCCCTGGAGCAAAATTCTGCTGCATTACAACCTGACGTCGGAAACGAAGATACATTGGAGGCACCACCCCTTGCTCAAACCGAAAGCGAAGGAGCCGGGGACGTGGATGTGTTACTGGGCACGCAGCTGGAAACCGTTGAAGACTTTCAGCTCAAGGAGGATGAGCTTTCATCGGAGCCTCCGACTTCTGCACCTGCTCGTCCCAGAAATAAGCGTAACAATTCAATCCAGAGAGCCTACAACACGATCAACCCCCAAGAACAATATCAGAAATCGCATAACCCTTTCGACTTCCAAACATTCTTATCCCATATAAGAAAGAAGCCAGCCGATCCGATTGTGCGTTACATTAGGTCCTTTTTGGTTTCATTCACGAGACAGGCTCCAAGCATGAGCACCGCACAAAGAATTAAGGCTGTGAGGCAGTTTAAACAGTTTATCAAAGGGAAGTTCGAGGAATACGAGCCTTTTGCCTCAATGGATAACAAAGATCTTGAAAACTCCAACGAAGGTATCGAGAAACTCATCATGAACCGCTTATACGAATACTGTTTCTCACCAGAAGTATTTAAGAAGTATGGAAACCAAACCCAGGAATCATTCTTGCAGGACTTGAGAGAAGACTTGAAATTTGCAAGCTGCCTAGACAAGTTCAGCTGGGTACTGGGAAATCATCTCGATATCGATCTTAACGAAATTGCCCAGCGAAAGAAAGAGACTTCGAGTGACAGTCTCAATTACTTGGACCATGCTATCAAAGAACTCAACAAGATGAACAGCTACAGAGCACCTCGGGACAAGATCATTTGCATCCTCAACTCGTGTAAAATAATTTTCAGTTTGCTTCGTGTCAGCAAACAAGAGACAAATGCTGATGCGTTTATCCCACTTCTCATACTTGTGATCATCCGCGCCAAAACACCTAATATCATAAGCAATGTTCACTATATCGAGAGATTCAGAGGAGAGGAATGGTTAATGCATGGAGAGACGAGTTACTATCTTTCGTCTCTCCAAGGAGCTCTATCATTTATTCAAAACATCACTAAGGACGATCTTACTGTTTCAAGCGAGGAATTTGACGCCAACATTGAGGCATGGGAGGCTGATGTCAAGCAAAGGCCACCCGAATTGGTAATTCCTGAGCCTCAAGCCTCCGATACTAATGCTGCACCGGTAATACGACAAAACTTGTCACCCTCGAGTGTTTTGATGGCTAGCGCCGAAACGGTTAAAAACTCAATAACTAATTATTTATCGTCACCACCACCGCCAGAGTCGAATGAACAGACACAAGGAAACGAGAGGGAAACAGCGCCCGCTCCAGGCCCATCAGAGGAGGATATTGACGCTGCTTTTCAACAACTCTCGGAGATGTTCCCATCTCTTGACAAGATAATTTTGAGAGACCTTGTTGTTATGAACGATGCAAACGTCGAGAAGACTCTTGATGTCTGTTTACAGCTTGTTAATGAGAGCTAAAGGCTACGTTGACAGTTTGATTTGCCCTTGTGGTGGTATATAACGCTTGCATGACAAATATTCAATTTATCGACTTCTATTCCTTTAGTTGTATAACTTGTAGAGCATGTAGTAGGTAAAAAGATTGCCCCAGTTCTATTGCACATTTACATATGCTTGTCGGACCAAAAGAGTCACAAATTATGGCCAAAAGAGTCATATCTTTGTATGCAGTCCCATTTTCTATTTGTTCTTTATAGCTATTAGGTGCGCACATTTCAGCTGAAATGCCCGGCTAGCTCAATGGCTAGAGCGTGAGACTTTTAATCTCAAGGTTGCGGGTTCGACCCCCGCGTCGGGCTTAGTTTATCTTTTTTTATATTAAACCAATTCAGGGAATAGTACAAAGTGTATTTCGATGTGAAAGCGCTTGGAAATATTTTTGCTTGACCAATGTGGAAAGTCTAGCCCTCAATGCACCAGTCAAATCAATTAATTACCAATTTCCGTCGCACTAGAAATCCGTCTACTCAATCAAGCGGACGCTATTTCCGTTAAAAGCCATTAAAAACTTTGATCTCTCAATAAGGCATGAAGATACGCTTTGTGGTGGGAAGATAGCCCTTGCACGGAAACCCTCTGCAAAGTCGCACCCTTTTAGGCAAACGGATCCAGAGGCTTATGGTTGCAAAATGTATAAATTCGATACTGTTTCTCTACAATTAGTCGATATCAGAAAACAATAAAAAGAAGATGCCTTTCAAATACACTCCAGCTGCCAAGGGTAAAGAGGTCAAGCCTCCTCAGATCCCATCTCCAGGTAACAACTCTTTCTTGGGTGACATCTTCACCTCCGAAGCTCCTTCTGATAAGCAGATATCATGCGGTTTCTACAAACAGGAGGCAGGTAAGCCATTGGAATACTACTACGATTATGACGAGATGAAGATCATTTTGGAAGTTGAGGGCGAGTACACAATTGCCGATGAGACCGGAAACAAGGTGTCTGTTGCTCCTGGTGACGTTTTCTACTTCCCCAAGGGTACCACCATCACATTCCAGACCACTGGTTACGGATATGCTTTCTTCTGTGGTTTGAGACCTAATGGCACTGCTTAAATAGTACTTGCTTAAAATAATACAAAATCAAATGTATTTCTGATCACTGTAGTGTCTTTTTGCAGCCAGTGGAAGTTTCTCGAACCTGCATCTGTAAGCTTCCTCACGAACCACTGCTGGAACGTACTACACCAAGATGCCAATTGATTACTCAAAGTGGGATAAAATCGAGCTTTCTGACGACTCGGATGTGGAGGTCCACCCAAATGTTGATAAACGCTCTTTCATAAAGTGGAAGCAGCGTGACATCCACGAGAAGCGCCAACAGAGAAACATCGAGATCAAGTCGATCTTGGTCCAGTTGACCATGTACGCAAAGTTGAACGCTAGGCTTGACTTTTTGATGGAGGAGCTCCAGCCTTTAGATCTTCTTGATGAGAGCAAGGTTAAGAGTGCAATCGATGCTGAGTACGACCCTACAGAAAGGTTCAATTACGAGAAGATCAAGAGCGAGAAGGATGATCTCCGTAAAGGTTTGCGTGATTTGGAGTTTTCCAAGGAGGAGGTGGAATCCATGCCTCCTTACAACGAAATGGTCGAGGATCTCTTCACTCAAGTGAAGGAAGATCATCCTGAGGTCACCGAGGATGGTCAGAAGTTGACCCAACACCTTAAAGAACACAGAGCCAAAATCGACGACATCTTGCTGAAGCAAACTATCAAACTCGACTCTTTGCTTCAGGAGAAAGCAAACCTCATCAGCAGTGATGACTATCACACAGGTTTTGACAGTTCGTTCATCAACAAGAATAAGGAGGATGCGGAGGCAAAGGCAAAGGCTGCTCCGTCAACGGCACTGACTACTGAAACATCAATTGAGACTCTCAACAGCCCCACCCTGCAACTGGCCAAAACTGAAACTACCAGCTCCCAAGAACAGGACGAATATGATCAACTTCATGTTCTCCCTGAAACCGCTGCCTTCGCCCAGATTCCTTACCATCAACAAGATAAAGGCAGAGACTTCTTGCTTCAAAACCCCAAGATCTGTAATGAGAACCAGAAGGATGCCCTTATAATGACTGCTTTTGATCATCAGCTTGAGGGAAAGGAAAATTTGACAAAGCAAGTGGTGTATCAATCTCTCATCTTGCAGTACATTGGCCAGTTGGCAGGCGGAGGTCAAGATTTGGCCCGCGTTCGTCAAAGCGTTCAATTGTTCTTCTCCAACCTCATGAACAAGTCTACTCCCGTTGCTGCAGCTTTCAATGACGATGTTGACAGAACCGTGAAGCACATTCAGACAAGATGCAAGATCATACAAGAGGAACGCCAAGGTCAAGGTGAGGATCAAGAGGAAGGAAGCGAGGTGATCCAACTCAGATCTCTTGATGACAGTACACAGTTGACCGTCCATACTCCGGAAGAAGGATCGCAAGAACATGAAATTTTCACCACGAAGCTTTCGAAAGAAATGCAAGAAGCCATCAAGACTGGTGAGCTTGACGAGGTGAACAAGGTCTTTGCTGCCATGAAAGTTGAGGATGCTGAGAATGCGTTGGAGATAATCAACGAATGTAATGTCATTGGCTTGAGTGGCTACTTGGAGAACGAGCAGGAGTTTGAGGATTTAAAAGCTCGTCAGGAACATAATACCGATCAGCAAGACATCCCTACCAGTACTGCTGATTCGGTCGATTAGCTTTCAGGTTAATAATGCAATGTGGTCATGAGGTAGTATATTAGTGTAGAGTAACTACTGCTTGCTCAATCTAGCGAGCATATCCATCAACGTGGACGACTGTCCGGGCTGCTGTGGAGGCTGCTGCTGTTGAGCTTGTTGCGGGTAGTTGGGCAGGTAGTTAGGCTGTTGATGCTGTTGCTGATGCAGCTGCTGTTGATACCCCTGATTCAGATAAGGCTGTTGAGGGGTTTGAAGTTGTGAGAGAAGGTTGTTCAACTGACTCGGCTGCTGAACCATTGGAGGAGGTGGTGGATGGGTTGGTTGTCCATATCCACCAGGATAACCTCCTTGAACTTGTGGCTGATACATCATGTTCGGATGCTGGTTAGCCGGTGCTTGCTGCTGCAGTTGAAGAAGGGCTATAACTTGTTGAAGAGTGTTTGGGTCAACATTTTGGAGGATTTGCAAAACATTAGGGTCTGGCAAATTAGGCTGATTTGAATTTTGGAACTGGTTGTTCAGAGGAGTGCCTGGATACTGGCTTTGCAGATACCCAGGATATGCATTTTGGGGAATATTCTGGAATGGAGGAGCTGGAAGCCCATAGGGAGATGAGTTATTAGGAGTGAAATGCAGAGGATTCTGATATGCCGGCACGTTTGGGATATTAGGCTGATTGTTCCCTTGGCGGTCTCTTGGCCGATCCTTCTTTCTCTGCTTCCTTGGCTGAGTGTCATGACGACTATTGCGGTTGTTGTGTGAATGTCTGTCCAGATCGTACAGACTTTCATCGCGAGAGCGTTTTGCAGATGTGGGTCTTGAGTTATGAGATGGTTCCATTTCTTTGACAACATTGACAGCTACCAGTGGAGCTAGGTCGACATACTCATCAAACTTGATACCTCCATCTTCAGTTTCCACAAAAGTCTGCAAATCGACATTCTCACCCTTGATGATACATGCAGCAAGAACGCCAGAATAGGCAGCGTCTGGAATAACCTCAGATAAGTCTTGCTCGCCAATATCGTCAATCTTGAGAACAAACCCAGCATCTTCAAACGCCTTAGTTGTAGCCTTAACGATCTCTGGGGAGCTATCAGCAGTGACGAATATTTGGCAATCAGGGCCACTGTTTTCGCTGGTGACTGTGTCTGAGGAGTTTTCTGCGCTTCTCTCACGAAATTGAACGTTTTCATGAGAAGACTTCTTCGAATTAGTGGAAGCGTCAAGTCGCATAAGTCTTCCATGAAGAGGTACATCTGTTTCGCCTTTGATGCAATCAGCGCACTGCTCAGCGGTTTTGAACTGAACAAATCCGTAGCCACCTTTTAAGGTAATGCTGACGACCTCGCCGTACTTATTGCAAATCCTGAACAAATCCTCTTTGGAGATAGTATTTGTTGATAAGTTACCGATAAAGAGTCTGGATCTCTCCGGGAACTCGTCAAGCGATCTCCTATCTTGGTACTTTGCTTCCTCCGCAAGATACTTGGTAAACTCATCAGACTCTTCAGTCGACATAGGCACCGTAATGTTAGGTCTTCTGCAGAACTTATTCTTTGGCACCAACGGTATTGGGTTCCTGCTGTCAAACGGCTTGTTGAACGAGTATACCTGGTCGTAGTTCATATCCAGGGCAGTGTCAAGCTGTGGTAAATGTATCCCCTTCTCCCTGAGCTGTTGTTCGATTAGGGCCATCTGCTGCTCTTGGCTCAACTGCTTGAACTCTGGTCTTTTCACGAGGTCACTTTGCATGATAGCATCGTATGCTTCCTTAAGCAGGGTTGGTGGTTCATCAGAGCTTGAAGCAGGAGCCACATTAGGTTTCGAAGGTAACGAAGGCACAGGCTTTTCAGTCTCCTTCACTTCTGGAGAAGCTAACCCATTCTCCGGGTCGTAGTCGTCGTCTTCATTCACTGAAGCTGTACTTTCCACGTCACCATTATCTGGCTCTGGTGACGGATCCATGCTTTCGGGGTCGTATTCGTCGTCTGACTCATCTTTTGGTGCCTCTTCATTAGAAACTGGTGTCTTGGAATCTGTGTTTCCAGCATCCAAGTCATTAGGCTCACCAGCCTCTTCAGCTTCAGGGCTTTTCGCTATAGGCATCTCGGGGTCGTAGCCATCAACATCTGAGCTTCCAGCCTCGTCTCTAGACTCTCTTCGCTGTAGCTCTACTGGAGTGACATTCATGAGAAGGTGTGGTACTACATTAGAGTTCGCACTATAGATCTACTAGCAGGCCACCCCCTCCACCATCGTCACTCAATATGTAAAATCTCCAAATTAGAATTGTCGTAAAAATAAACTTCGTAGACCGATCCCAAACTGAGTAATGCGCCCGCAGACTTTTGGTACCTGGATCCCCCACGCTGCACGCCGCATCCGCAACCGTGGCGTAGTACTAAGGTCGGAGTACCTCCCCCCGTAAGGCTTCTAAAGTAAACCACTTTTTTTTTCCCCTCAATTGCACAATGCCTCTTAACGTTGGTATAGTAGGAACTGGCATCTTTGCCACAGACAGACACTTGCCGGTGATCAAGGGAATTTCCAACTTGAAGCCATACGCAGCTTTCAACAGAACAGAGTCCAAGGCCCACACTTTTGCTGAGAAGGCGGGCATTGACAAGAAGGATGTTTACCAAAACGTCGAGGACCTCTTGGATAACAAGGAGGTGGACTTTGTGGATGGTTTGTTGCCTGTCCAGTCGAACTTGGACTTGGTCCAGAAGGCCGTGAAGTTCAACAAGCCCATTGTCTTTGAGAAGCCCATTGCAGCCAACTTGGACCAGGCCAAGGAGATTGTGAAGATTGCTGAGTCTAGTGATCTTCCAATTGGTATCTTGGAGCAATGGTCGTTTTTGACTGCCATTGACAAGCTCCACGAGATCCTCCCTAAGATTGGTGATGTGGTTTCCTTCATCTACAAGTCGACTGGTGCCTGGAACGAGGATAACAAGTACTTGGCTACTAGCTGGAGACAGAATCCTGAGCATATCGGTGGCTTTTTGAGTGATGGTGGTGTTCACCAATTGGCATTGCTCACTGAAGTCTTGGGTGAGATTGATACCGTCAGTGGTCACACCAAGCAGATCAGAAAAGAGAGCGGCGCCGATGACATTTTGTTCTCTACCTTCAAATTGAAGTCTGGTGCAATTGGTAACTTTACTTATGGATCTGCTTTTGGTGCTACTGACAAGTCCACCAGCTTCACTATTTATGGTACCAACGGTTCTATCTTCTACGACTTCTCCCCAGCTTTGAAGAAGCCAACCATCACATACCAGACTGGTCCAAGCTCTCAGCAGGCTTCTGATAAGACCACCATTGAGATCGATGAAGTTGATGCTATCGAGAAGGAGTTCGAGAACTTCGCTGAGGCCGTGGAGAAGAAGGATAAGGCACTCGTCAAAGTGCCACCAAGAAAAGCTTTCCACCATTTGGCAATTGTTGCCGCCGCTCTTGAATCATCTGAGAAGGACGGTGCTTCTGTCAAGGTCAAGAATCCATGAATGTAGTTTGTGTAAGATAACAAGATCAAAGTTCATCGTGTGCATCAGGCGGAGTCCATTCGTGGAATGTAGGAGTTTCCAGATCTTCATCTAGAGCCTCGCTTATAAGTGAGCTCAAGGGCTTCTCTCTGGAGGGTTCATCGACGGTTATTGGTTCTTCCTCAATGACTTCCTCGGGCTGAACGTCAACGGACGCGATGGATTGAACGCTTTCGGGTTCCGTTTGACCCTCTTTCTGGATATCCTCTTCAATTTCTGGCTCATTTTCAGCAGAAGAACCAATCTTCCCTTGTGCTTCGTTGTACAGCTCGTCGAATTCGTCAGTCTGGGCCTGATCGGATTCTTTCTCCTCATTGCTATCAATTGGCTCAACAACTTCAGTAGTTCCATCCATGTTGGGATCTTCTATGCTCTCCGTCTCGATGTATGGCGCAATTTCCTCGGTCGAAATCGTCGTAGTCCCGATCTCTACATCGATGGAGGGCGATTCAACATTCTCGATGCTTTCACTTGCGGCCTCTTCGTCCGGTAACAGGCTCTCGACTATGGGTTCTTCTGGAACAAAATCCTCAATGATCTCTGAGGAAGTGGCATCAATCACATCCTCGATAAGAGTAGGAGTTTCACTTGATAAAACGGAGGAATCCAATGGCAGAGAATAAACCTCCTGCTCATGAGTTAGCGTGGGATATGAACTAATGGGGTCTGTAAGCTCTTTCTTCGTCGTGAACCATGACACGACACCAAGCACCTTTAGGAGGGACCAAGTCAACATTTTGACGGGCAATTTCAAGATTCTATGCCAAATGACCCATGCGAGACATAGAAGAAGGAAACCAATGCTAAAATATATGCGTCTCTTGTCTCGTTTATCCTGCTTCTCGATAAACTTGACAATCTGCCTCGACTTGTTCAACAACGAGTCTAGATCGACAAGCTTGTCGTTCACCTTGTGAAGATCTCTGGTCTGTTGCTCGAGTGTTTCGGTATTAAGCTCTGTTTGCATCACAGACATTGTCATTAGTTGCTTGGTCAATTTCAAGGAATTGGTGATATTCTTGTTTTGTGTGAGCACTTGCTCCTCAATTGGCTTTTCGCCAGTCTCTTCTTGAGCCATTGATCTTCCAGCAAACAACTGTTCTCTCAGATCTTCATTCTGGTCGCTCCATTTCTTGACGTACTCGTCTATAATCTGACCGTGAACTCGCTTGCTTTCTTCCTCATATGCTGTAGTTTGGCTGTCTCTTAGTCTCTCCTTGAGATTGCGAACTGTCAGCTTGTGTAGGGCAAATTGCTCCCAAAGAAGATCCTGATCTGCTTTTCTTGGAGCTTGCTGTGATATCAAAATCTCAAGTACACTCAAGAGATCGTTCATCTGGTTGATCGAGTAGTGAGCACGTTTGGTGAGTGTATTTCTCTTTGTCTCTATAGAATCGAATCCATCATCTTCTATATTCTTGATATCCTCGATGTTTTCAAAAACTTCGTTTCTGAGACGAGAAAGTTCAGTTAGCTGGGGCCGGAAGTCTAGGTTCAGCATGTATGCTTTGGAGTATAGATCTAGCGGTAGTTCTGAGGTGCTGCGTACACTACGTGATCTGTGCTGCCGAAGTAGAGGTAGCAATTGGCACTCCAATTGACCTAAGTTAATGGAAAAAAGAGTCAATGTGTCTTTAAATTTGCTATTTTTGATACTTTCAAAAAAAAGACGAATTATCCACGAGTTGGAAGTAAACTGTTGCATGGCTCGTTTTCGCAGTAAGGCACTGGAAAAGTACATACTGACACTCACCTTTCTTCCAAATGGAACTGAAACGTAAACCCGGTGCAAAGGACCCGTCAACTATCACGCCAGAGTACATAGCCGAGAAGAGAAGGGAGCGTGAATTGAAGAAACAGCAGAAGAGAGATGAGCTCATCAAGCAAGGCATCGATCCAGATGCTAAACCAGTACCTGAGCATTTACAATTCATCAAAAGACCAATGTTAGACGTCCCAGGCCAAAAGGCGTCTGGAGATGGTCTTACTATTAAGGTGCTAACCTACAATATTTTGGCCCAAGCCCTTATCAGAAGAAAGTTGTTTCCAACCAGCGGCTCTGCGTTGAAATGGGCCAACAGATCTCAGAGATTGGGCTCAGAGATTGAGCATTACGACGCAGATATTGTATGTCTACAAGAATTGGACTTTGATCAATACAACAGTCACTGGAAGAAGGAGTTCGAACGTATGGGCTACTCTTCAAGGTACCACCGGTCAGGTGTGAAGAGACATGGTGTGGCCATCCTCTACAAGCATTCCATGTTCCACTTTGAGCATCAATATTTCATTGACTATGATGCAACGGAAACACCCGGCGTCCCCGCCTCTACAAGAACACAAAACATTGGTTTGTTGGTGTACCTCAAACTCAATGAAGACGTTAAGAACAAAAACTCTGGCATAACAAAAGATGGTATTATAATCGGTACCACACATCTATTTTGGCATCCTTTTGGAACATTCGAACGAACGAGGCAGACATACCTTGTACTCCATCATGTCAAGGAGTTCTCAAAAATGATGCATCTTCTATACCCAAAAGATAGCTTCTACCGTTTCTTTGCTGGTGACTTCAATGCTCAGCCATATGACTCGCCATATCTTTCCATCACTTCAAAACCAATCACATATACAGAAAGACCAAAAATAGTGTTGGGAAAGGCGGCGTCTCATAAATGGAACGATTCGGATGCTGCAGAAGACGAAGATGATGACCAGGATAACGATGAGGAAGATACCCCTGTTCCATCATCATTCAATTTCACTCCGGCCATTCTAGAAAAGATACAACATATGGAGTCTTTGCATAACAACATCGACATGAGGTTTATTTCTCTATACTCTGTGGCGTATCGCCAAGTGCATCCTGAAAACGCTATTCCAAGCGACAGATATGAACCGCTGTTCTCCAACTGGGCGCACACATGGCGTGGATTGCTAGACTATATTTTTGTTGCCACGGACTGGAATGGCGACAATGCAAATGGTGAAGTCGACTCGGTGCAACAGTTAGAACAGAACCAGAACATCAGGCTCCTATCCCTTCTTCGCTTACCGACACCTGAGGAAATGGGCCCAGAGCCATCTGGCCAACCCAGAGACGGTCAGTACCCGTCTGACCACCTTTGCCTCATGGCGCAATTAGAATTACGATAAGTAGCGAATTGCATCACGACTTCAACATGGTGTTGATCAAGTCCTCGAGGGGACCGTAGTCTCTTCTGCTAATCAAGTCAAATTCCTTGCTGAAGAGAACGTAGTGCTTCAAACTCGTGTTCAAGTGACTCTGTAATCCCAACTCAGAGATTTCGTGGAAATGATGGCAGTAGATATGAGCGTAGATTCTCAAAAGCCTCTTGAATATCGTCTTCACCAAATTAGGGAATTGTTGTGGGAAGGGTGCACCGATCTTGGATGGAAAGATGTTGTCATTATCAAAGAAGTTCTGAATCCAATTCATGAGATTCTCGACGTAGTCGCAAGCTGGTAAAGAGATCGGCTTCTTAGGAGGCACGTTGCTGCTGCTTCCAGAATTCGTCTCCTGCCACAAGTATTCGTACTCCTCTGTTGCAATCATACGTGGGCATGTCTTGGGAGAGCAGAACTCCGTGATCGTACCGTAAAGCATATTGATCTGGTTGTAGAAGTCAACCACATGAACTGCTAACCACTCGTTGACATCCTCATCCTGAGGGAGTTTGACTGCTTGGATCAAGGCGTTATCGGAACCCAAGGTCTGCTCCGCATATGACCTGATATCCTTGTGTGATGTGACTGGCTGAGACGACAATCCAGACGAGACGTTCATCGTTTGATATGGGTTGTTGTTATCATTCTGGTCGAACTGCAAGGTGGGCTTGTCGTAGAAGTTTCCCTTTGGAGTGGTGGGAAGAGCAGAGTTACCGACAGGCTGGGGGCTAGAGATTGGAGATCCCGGCTTGAGCTTGAAGCCTCTGGTTGATTTTATGGAATGGGCATTAAAGTTTGAAAAAAACGACGACATGACGGGCCTGTCAAAATTGTGCTGTAGGACGATTGTGTTTGGTTTGCAATCCCCAGGAGGAGTGTAGATCGCAATCCAGGCAATGCCTCCAGTGTTTACATCAGCACCCGATTTGGTGCGAAATTACTTCCCATGCTTCACTCGCTTTTCTGGATCGGATCCTGAAGAACCCTGTACACCAAGGCGAAATTACGGAGTAACCGCTTATCTTCTGGTTCTCGCGGCCGCTTGATAGAATTGCGGCATTGCTGTAAGCGATACGAGCTCTGGGCACATTCTTTCATCAACTCCACTGTGTTGTACTTTGTGTGTATGAAGAACTGGAGCTTCTCAAGTACCAATTGTAGCATCTCCGCCCGATCCGGTTCCCCGGGCCCTTGAAGTGGCGTACTTAGCTCGGTAAAGATGCGTAGTAAAGATTGATAGTTTATTTCGAAAAGATGTTTCCCGTAGAATGAGAAGACAAACGGGTACTCAGCTTCCAAGTGGAGCATCAATGACGTGAGTGAATACTGAAGATTGTTGAACAAACAACTGTAATACACCAGCGGGCAAGGCGTGTCGTATCTGTAGACAAGATGAAGGCATTCGATGCTTGCTACGTTGTTGGCATGCTTGAAATCGCCCAAGATGTCACTGAAAAGGTTGCATTTGAGGAAGAGAGATACCGAGCTATTGCTCGTAGCCAGGGTATCAATGTCGAAGAAAATACTTTTCCAAAACGATGAGTTCAACAACGCTGCCAGGATCCTTTCCACGCAGTGGTTAGAGCTATCAAGCTTATGACCGTTGATGATGATGTCAAGCGTGAACTTGGGTTAGTGGGAACACAGAGAATAGAAGGTCGGTCATACTAGCATGTGAGATACGGGAATGAAGAATTCTGGTTTCTCGGATCCCTTGGTTTTCACGGAGTAAGACAATGTGAATGTGTCGTCGAACTCTTGTAGACAGATCTGTTTTGACATGAAGAAGTAGTGGTATAAACGCGTTTCGCAGCCAGTATGGTGGTGAAGTACCCCGAGCTGTTGAATAGTAGACTTTAGTTTTCCTTATTTTCTGAAGGCTTTGCAGATTCTCATGATTTGATAAAGTAAACAATTGAAATTTGCCTGCCTTTCTTAGAAGCCACTCCGATTGTCTTCTCACGTTTCTACACATCTCATCGTGCGAACACTCATGAGGACTTCTTTCCACATTGCATCCACTGGCCCACTTCTAACGGTCAAGCATAGAATTTCCAGCCTACCGTCTGTGAATGAACTTGTCAAATTTCCGAAAAGAACGGCCCTTCTCGCGACATACAAGCATTTCTTCCGTCTACGGCACCTTGTCTTAGATAAGCCATATCAAGAGCAGCAGTATGTTCAGCTGCTTAGGAGACGCTTTTCTAGGGGTGATTTTAACCTAAGGAGGAATAAAGTGCTAGGTTTAAGCGAATCTCTTTCACATGAAGATCTTATTAGAAGAATTGCTGCCACATACACGTTTGTCTTTAATGCTACTTGCAATGTGACTGACGAACCTCCTCCGGTGATGACATACGATGACGTGAAAGCTGCCAATAAGCCACATCTAGAAACCAGCATTATCGAGACTATCCTCAAAATGGAAGAAGGAGCATCACCAAAACTTCTCCATGACTCCGAATATACCTGGTACGATAAGGCGTGCGAAAGAGAGAAGGAACTATGCCTGGGTACCATTGACGCCAGTCGAGCCAAAGAGCTCAATCGTACGAGAGAAGTTGTTGATATCGGATACGCAGATTACGAAAGAACCGTCATGGCTCTAAATGAGTCACTCGGTCTTTGTCTCTAAGGGTGTTGAACGCCCCCCAGCCTGCACATCCCTGGTGTCAATATGTGAGAGGTCTCACCTCCCTGTACTACTATCGAAAAATGGCATGGCTTTCGTTTGGCGGTAAAAAAGATAGCCAGGCACCGGCACCTGTTCCCGGTGGCCAATTGCAACAGCGCTCCCATCAGCCGCTTTCCGTTCTGCCCGAGGAGCTGGACATTGAGAACACCTTGAACCAGATTGCTACCTCGCAGACCCAGCCTGATGTCAAGTTTGCCAAGGCACAGACCATTGACGAAAGCAATGCTGCCGTCGATAAGTTTGTTGCTAACCACCCCAAGAGAATGTTTATCATTGATGGGGAGAAATACGCCAATGAGTCTATCATCTGCACCAACGATGAGCGTGGCGAGAAGACGTGCTTGCGGTTGATGTACAACCTGATCCAGCTCTTCAAACAGATGCAACGTCTCGAGTACTTCTGCTCATTGCCCAATGAGATCGACGCCACCTACTTTGAGTGCCGTAAAATTACATAGTGCCAAACCATATCATGAATATACTAGTAGACTACCAGGACTTCAAAAGAGAAGAGTGGCCAAGACACCAAACACGGTGCCAAAGGCAGCCTTGACGCTGCTGGCGGCGCCCTCCTCGCAGGCAGACTCGTGGCCAAAGTTGGTCACGTTGGATCTGTTCCCGGTGGTGGTGGTGGTGGTAGTTGAGTTCACAACCTTGGTCGCAAAACCGTTGGTTGAGCTGACACCCTCGGCATTGGACCCTGAGGTGGCAGAACCAGTGGCAGTGCTTTCAGGGGCAACGAAAGTGGTGGTGGGAACATGACCACTGTTTACGTCCCGTTTGTCAAAGACAGTGTCGACGTCATCGTCGCTGTCTGATCCAGATGGACTCTGGAGACGTTCCATCTGCTCCTCGGTTCCGTACTCGATGTTAGCACAGGCAATCTTGGTCATGTCCGAGTAGTGGAACACAATTGACTTGCCAATGATGTTGGCCTTCGAGTACCCGTCCAAAGAGAGATATGGATCGCAGTAGTCGGTCTGGAAGCACGTAGCCTTGATGGCGCCATGCTTGCCCGACAAGTCACCAATCTTACAATAAGCGTCGCCATGCTGGGCGTCACAATCAGGAGAGGCGTGGTATGGGTTGAACTCTTTGCCAACTCCTTCACAATCCCCGTCATCAGGAACCGGGAACTCGTGGATATGGTAGTAGAAAGGCCCGCCGTCAGAAGGCAACTTGGTCACGTCGACATGGACGTCGACCTTGCCACCGTTGGGACTCTCAAACAGCACATATCCTTCCATCTCGCCACAACCAAACTGAGGGAACTCAGCAACGGCAATGACATCCTTGGGGTTAGAGGAAACCTTGGGGGCGACGCCGGCGAAGGCGCCTCCCAAGAAACCAGAGATAAGCAAGCTTTGGGCTACGTTGTTGGTGAATCTCATACTTGAAAGAAGAAGAGTGGTTGGTAGGTGTTGGCTGCAAAAGGACCCACCCTCACCTTTTATAGTTCGCGGGACAACACAAGGCGGACCCCCAATCTCTACATGTAGATGAACGTTAGTGTATGCTATTATCCGATGCTATATCCCATTAAATGCTAAGTGATTTTAAACCATAAATGATTCGCCGCAACCGCAGGTACCCTTCGAGTTGGGGTTCTTGAAGATGAATCTGGACGAGAGCTTGTCGTCAATCCAGTCCATCTCGGAACCAACAATGGAGAAAAGGGCCTTTGAATCAATCAAGACCTTGACGCCATCCTGCTCCACCAACTCGTCGAACTTGCCTGGTTTCGTAACGTACTCCAAATGGTACGTCAAGCCCGAACAACCTCTGTTTCTCACACCAATGCGGATGAGCTGTGGCTCGGGTTGATCTATCAATGCTCTAAGGTGACTCACGGCACCTGGGGATAATGTGATCAATGCCTTTCTAGGACGCAACTGTCTTCTGGCCTTCTTCTCTTCACTGACCTTAGGAAGTGGTGCAGATGTAACAGAAGGCTTCTCTTCCGTCGAAACGGTTTGTGCAGTGGTGTTATTTGAGGTTGCCGGCGTTTCCTTAACCTCCTTGTTGGTAATTTCTTCATGCTTCGTGGAAGCCTCCTTGGTCTCTCTAGATGACTTGGCAGCGTTTCTGAACCTCGAGGTTCTCGACTTTCTAGCCACTGGCTGTGGTGGCGATGCAATAGTGATTGATTCATGCTGTTCAGGTTGTTGCTGTGTCTTTTGTTCTTGTGGTTTAGGGGTAGGGAATGAAAGGGAATGCTTCGACCAGCGAGAGCCTCCTCTAGGCAGCGTTTGCTGCTGTACAGGGGCCATCTCTTGATTGAGCTGGTAGTTCAATGAGCCAAAGTTTGCCACTGGCAGTCTCTTGACCGAACTTGGTACCGTTTGCATCCATCTCTTGTAGCCACCGTGGGAGGCATACCTAACGAAAATGCTTGATCTCTGTGTAGCACAATTCCTTAACATGTTTGCAATGTTTAGCTAGTGTGTCTAGGGTTGTGCAATGATAAATATGTGTAAATGCTGGATAAACAGACTAGTATTTAAGACAGAAAAAAACTGAGTAATATTTGCTTAGTCTATGTCTGAGCATAAAGGTCAGAGCAATTCTTTCATGCAGGACGACATTTTGGATAATCCATATTTCTTCGCACCTCATTGGCTTAATTTTGACTCCGACTGCGGATTCCGTTCCTCGGGTCCGGTCATACTTAATGTAATCGTGGGGAACGCTCACGCAGGGCATTACACACTACAGGTAAGTCCGAGACATGTGGATTTGGTAAATCGAAACTAGCTAAATGTCGCTTGATTATTTCAATGGAGCGGTTTCTCTCTTCAACCAGGCCCATTCAATGGTGTTCTTGATGAAACTATCGCTCAATTCCTTCCACACAGTAGCATGGTAGTCGTTAATCCATTTCTTCTCGTCCTTGGTCAACAAGTTTTGGTTGATCAAACGACGACAGAATGGCACTCTCGTGACAGTTTCGAACTCATTGAACTTCTTGCCATTGTACTCCAATCCGCTTGGCTTTACAAACATCACATTCTCGATACGAATGCCATATTCGCCCTCTTCATAGTATCCAGGCTCATTGGAGATCAAATGACCAGGTTTTAAAAGGTTTTTTGGATTAGCTCTTGGACCAAGTCCAATTGGGCCCTCGTGAACATTCAAATAGGCACCAATACCATGAGAGGTTCCGTGACCAAAGTCCTTGCCGTTCTTCCACAAATATTGTCTTGCAACAGTATCGTTGATCGGCGTCTTTTCGGGGAACTTCAAGCTACCCAATCCAATGTTACCCTTCAAAACTAAGGTGTAGTTATCAATCTCCTCCTGTGTCGGGTTGCCGAAATGAACGCATCTTGTCGTGTCCGTGGTGCCATCCAAGTACTGGGCACCGGAGTCATTAAGGTAAATCTTCGATGGGTCAATTATGGCACAAGACTCTTTCGAAGGCTTGTAGTGGATAATAGCGCCATTTGCACCGGATGCACTGATAGTGTCAAACGAAAGTCCAATGAAGTTCTCTTCCTGAGATCTGAATTCAAACAACTTCTTGTCCGCCTCGATTTCATTGATTAGTTCGACCTTATTTGAAACTTCCTCCTCGAGCCAAGCGAAAAATTTGCACAAGGCTCGGCCATCCTTCAAGTGAGCCTTTTTGGCTCCCTCCAATTCAGTTTGATTCTTCACGGCTTTGAGGTCTTCAACGGGTGTAGGTGATACGGATACATGCTCACAATCTAGAGTACGAACAATTTCCCAGGACGCAGAGCTGTCGTTAAGCAAAAATTGTTTCTTCGATTCCTTGAACTTCTTGGACAATGCTGAAAGGTCGTCCCAGAACGCTTCATACGGTCTGAGCTTGATATTGTTCTTTTCCAAATGCAGGCTAACGGGGGTGTCAAACTTTTTGTTGTTAGAATAAAGGGTCACATTCTTGTCATCGGCATCAATAATCACGTAACTGTAAAAGACGGGGTTATACTGGATATCGCTGCCTCTCAAGTTCAAGAGCCAGGCGATCTCATCCAACGCACTGATAACAATTCCATCACAGGAACTTTCCTTCACGGCCTCAATGACCTTGGCAACCTTGGACTTGACGTCCTCTCCAGCGTATTTTTGGTCGAGAACCTTGATGATGTTCTCAGGCACCTGTGGGACCTCCTCGAAGTCCGGCCAGATAGCATCGATCAAGTTCTTCTTCACGGGGACGAGCTCAACATTGGATCCTTTTGTCTTTTTGGCCTCCTCGTCGATGGTCTTGGTGATCTTATCGAAGGACAGGAAGCTTATCAACTTTGGGTCAACACCGATCTTGACAAGTTTGCCAGAGTCCACGGAAAGCTGGACTGCCTGCTGAACAGCCCACAATTCCCAAGATGGCACATCCTTTTGGCCCTGTCTCAACAAGGTCCAGTTGAAGTCCAACTCGTTGACGGCCTGGGTGAAGTACCTGCCATCGGTGGCCAAGGCGGCCGAACCTTCAGGGATTTCACCAAAACTGTTGACATCCCTAGTCACCACAGCAACACCAGCACTTCCGGAAAATCCCGAAATGAAGGCACGCTTTTGGTCAACAGGGGCCACGTACTCAGACTGGTGCTGGTCCTCAGAAGGCACGACATAGACACCCAAGTCGTTCTCGGTCATCAACTTCCTGAGCTTCTCCAAACGCAATGAGGTGTTGACCTCCTTGACCTCTGGAACACACAAGGAAGCAGCGTCAATGGTATAAACGGAGCCCTTGCGGGAGCCCTTAGGGGAACCCAGCTGGGAGTTGAATCTCTTGATGGAGATTCTCTTAGCAAAAGTCGACAGTCTTCTGTTTCTTGACAACAAGCCCGGCGAGCATGTGCAGTTGGCACACTCGGCACGGGACACTCTTCTCTGGGCCACAGACATGTTGGTTAATGGAAAAGAGTAGATGGTAGAAAATGTTGCCTGACTATCTAGGAAGGAATGTGAGCGAGCGGAAGGCTGCTTATGTAAGCGCCTGGCAGCAAGCGAGCCGTACAGGCAAGCGTCAGCCTCCGGGGTAACAAATTTTTATTAAATCACACATGATGATGGGAGAGATTACGCATTTGAAGAAAATAATTAGTAAATTGGCGCCTGAGGTGATGGGTGCTGGTGGTCTTGACCAAAGTGGGGAAGGCTGCGGTGATATGGGCAGAGGCTAATTATGTCACCCGACGATCGTTTAGACGTGAGCGTTACGGATTCTGGTCCGACATTTGGTATAAGGTTTAAGACGCCTTGAATGACCTGAGATGCTAAGTGGACCTTTTCTTATCCAGCATCTTCTGAACTGCAGCGCGCCTTTGACACAATCTAAAAGATCGCTGAACGCAGCCGTCCAGGTGAACGGGTTGGTGGGAAGTACAAGAAAAATTTTCTTCGGCAAAGGAAAGTCTATTGTTCTGTTTGTTTTATTTTTTACGGTTTTGAGTTGGTGGAAAATCGACTCTGTTCATCATCGGCGTGACTCCGAATGACTACATGTCATGCTGGTTGACGCTGGTAATGTGCTCGTTTTGTGTGTCCCTCCCTGCATTGGTTGCGTCAAGCAAGGAACTCCGTTGTAGTTTTGGACTCCAGGTGACTTTGAGGGGGGTTTTCTTAAGCGAGCTTCTAATAGGGAGATTTAAAGCTTTGTTGGTTTTTTGATACGGCTCTGTGTGACGAGTAACTGGAAAACTTGAACCGATGTGGAACAAGGAGAGAATGAGAGTGGCTGATTGTCGAAGGGGTTCTGGTCAGCTAGAGGTCCAAGAGTGCATCCTCGAAGGTTTTTTGGAGAGAATGATTGGTCAATGTTGTTTTTCGAAATTTTGAAGGTACTCTGAAGTTCACACTATAGTGCAGCTTTTGTAGATGGTTGCAAATCTCGCACCGTACTTGTAAAGATACTTGAAAGCAGTGGAAAAATATGAAAACTTCACAAATGTTAAAGACGGCTTTTACTAACTATTCACATTCTTTAAGTCAATTAGGCCTCCCTTCCTTGAAACACACCAACAGTCTTCTGACGCTTCTTTGCAACCTCTCTACATGTCAATAGTGGTTGATTCTGGGCACACAAACTGATCTTCCAGCTGTACCGCAACAGCAAAATCTATTCCAATCAAAGGAAAAGCAGCATTTTTTTATAAATACTCTTTTTCCATTCCAGATCTTTTCTATTCATATCCATTGCCTCGAGGCACCACACTGTAGTGCGCATCGATTTCGCAGTTACTTAATGTGTCAGATCATCTATCAAAGTCGCTACAATGGATCAGCTCTTTCAGGATGCTGAACGGGTATGTCACAAGAAAACAAAACCTAATGCTATACTAACTTTCAGCAAATAGAGGCTCTCTACTCTACCAATAATCAGGAGCAAGTCTCCGGTCTACTGAAGAGCTTGAGGGACCTACAGAGATCAGAACACGGCCAGGCGTTGGCAGATCATCTTCTCCAGCTGCCCAACCTAAACTCCCGCTATTTCGGCGCATTGACCTATGCGGTAGTCATACAATACCTTGACGAGCCGTCAGAAAGTCAGCTCAATGGACTCATACAATCCCTCGGCACGCATCTTCAAAACTTTGCCCAAGATATATCAGCAATTGGTTCAAATCTTCTTGTGCTACGAAAGCTCATGTCTGATTTAGCGCAAATCTTCATCCGCCACCCTTCCAGCCGAAATCCAGTTTCAACATTACTTGATGCGGTATCAGGCAACCAATTCCACGACACATTATCATTTGCATCTTGCATCTCCAGCCTTCCGGCGGAGAAATTCATTCTATTGCTTTCGTTCTTTGCCATCCTAATAGAGGATGCTACCAGGCTCAACGACTATAAACTGGCAGTACACCCTGCTGTCAAGATCGAGATTTATCCCTTGTTGATAACGTGCGTCAATTATGTCACTCACCTATACTCACAGGGCAATTTGTCTTATGAGGTTGACTTAGAGATGTCAAAGACACTAGCTTCATGGATGATCTACATACCAAACATTGGTGGCGAGCTACGCTTCTCTGCAGATGATGTGGCCCCAATCACAGACTATTTACTCTTCCATATAGAGGGTGACTGTGATGTGAATAACGAGAACAGCTTGCAGCTCAGTAAAGAGTGTATGGCAGTATTCGCAGAGATACTAGAGAGTAACGCAGCACTTCTCTCTACTGAAAGCAAACTGGTTTTGTATCGCCGACTCTTCGACGACGGGGAATGGGGCTCTAACTTTTTGAACCGAGTTGTGTTCACAGAGCATCGAGATGAGTTCGAGGAAGAAGTGAATTCGTACGTCTTCCTCGCGATTGTTATTGCTCAGCTAAACCTGATAAGGTTATCGAAGTCGATTCTACAGCCTCAATCTCAAAACGTTCTTTCCATTCTTTACAGACTAACAGCCATCGAAGGGGTTCCTTTTATTGACGAAACAATCTCCGAACAA